CGCTAAAGAATCATGTGAAAGACCATTGTGCAGGAATTTCTAGTGTGGTCGAAGGCAAAGAAAATTAACTGGTTAATGAAAAAATTAGGTGAGGGAGAGGGTGGGGGAGGGTGGAACAGAAATAATTAAGGTCTAGACAGAGGCTGTAACTACCAAAAAGGTTGTCACGTTTATTCACCATAATCGTGTTAAGAACTCCCATCTAACAACTTCCATTGGAAATCCTTCCCTTCGCACCACTATCCAAACCTACCACTTTATCATGCCTCACCCACAAAAAAATTGAAATAGAATTTCTCAATTATGCATGTCACTTTCAGTCGTTGGCCTTCTAGATCTCTTTCATTTCTTATAAACACGTAGATTATACAATTGGTGCGTTCTAAAATATTGATTCGGGACAATAAGAATTTAGGTGGTTGAATAGATGTTCATTCATGTAATGGCCAACCGATTAAGAAACAGTCTGTTGATGCAGAGTATACCCTCAAACTCACCGAATCATCTAATATACCAAACTGATTATGTGTGACAGAATTTAGTATAAAATGGTAGTTTTAACTTTTCATTTCTTATAAACACCTGGATTATACAATTGGTGCGTTCTAAAATATTGATTCGGGACAATAAGAATTTAGGTGGTTGAATAGATGTGCATTCATGTAATGGCCAACCCGGTCAGGAAACAGTCTGTTGATGCAGAGTATACCCTCAAACTCACCGAATCATCTAATATACCAAACTGACTAGCATGTGTGACAGAATTTAGTATAAAATGGTAGTTGTATCTTTTCATGGAAAGGCCCACTTTTCCCTCAATATTCTAGATTCTTATACAAAGGAAACCCTAATCTAAAATTTTGTGACACATTTAACGTTACCAAGTGTATGTTAGTGCCTACGAGAAACAGCTAGATCACTTTCAAGCCAGTGTTGTCAAATCAAAAGTGTCTGTTTCGACCACTTAAGCACGAAAGTGGAGCACCATTGGACATGAAGTGCTGCGCTTTAGTGAAGCAGGGTTGAAGCACCAGCTTTAGGGCTTAAGGTGAAGCGCTTGAAGTGGGTGTTTCTATTAAGTTTTTCAATTAGAGAAAAAAATCCCATTTAAATAATAATTTAGCCAATGGATATTTAATTTAAAAGGGAAATCGAACTTTTAACCATTTTAACCTAAATAGGAGTCATTACAACAAGAAGGGCTGCTGCATGTATTATCCTCTTCACTGCTACTGCTTTCTCTTCTTCAAAAATCCTTCTCAGGGTATTCTTGTAATACCCAAGGATTTCTTACTTAAGATTTAAATAACTTATTTAAGCTCTTAGAGGATGTATATGTGATAGGATTAAATTTGGGGTTAAAATTATAATAAGCTTAAAATTATTTAAGCTCTCAAATAATGCTAGTTTTGAAGATGAAGGAAAACTCAGTTCATCATAAAAGGATCCCAAAATAATTAGAGGAACTCATCTTAAGCTTCACAAATCTCAAAATCCCTAGGAAATCTTTCCAGACAGATCCCTATCACTAAATGCAATTACCTAAGACTAAAATGATGTAAAACTCTCATTCCATCAGCTAAGTTGCTTAAAACAAAAAATTAAGCATTCTACCTACTCCTAAAGTCCTAGTAGCCCTCAATAAGTTTACACAAAAGTTTTGAACAATCTGAGCTTACCGTCCATCTCATTCCTCACATATTTTGCTAGAACAACAATTTACACAAAATCATAATTTATATGCAATCATGACCTACATTTATGGATAAACCATTCATTGGCTATGAAATATTTATGGAAACAGCCACTCAAATTATCAACAGCAAAATAGAAATAGAAAATCAAATGCAAAAGAA